TATATATATATATATATATATATATATATATTATATATATATATATATATATATATATATATATATGTATATGTATATATATATATATAAATATATATATATATATAAATATATATATATATATATATGCATGTATATATATATATGTGTGTGTGTTGTTTTTTATGTATATGTATATGTATATATATTATTATTATTATTATTATTATTATTATTATAGATATGTTTTTTATCATATATATATGTTGTGTGTATGTGTGTGTTTGTGTATGTATATCTATGTATGTATCTATATTGATATGTGTTATTGTAATTTTTGTGTCTTTATTTGCGTTATTTGTTCGGGTATGAGATTTTGTATATTTATGTCTGTGCATGTGTTGTATTGAGGGTGTGTGTAGTTTTTACTTGTTCATGTCTGTATCTAGATATATGACTATACTTGAATATATACAAATGCTTGTATATTTTTATTTCTGGCCGTGTGTCTTCTAAGGGTTACTTAATAGTATGCACCTACACGTGTGTGAAAGCGTTTTTGAGTGTGTGGCTAAGTCTGATAAATATAATTATAAACACAAATCCGCACTGAACTACAATATATAATGGACAGTTTCAACACTGCGATTACCTTGGACGTCGGATTTGCAAGGCTCTCGGCGCTTCGCATGGTTACTAGTACCTTTTCCACTGTTCGTCTAATCAATGCTTTATTTTCTGCCAACAGGACCAAGGATGTCTGCCCGGTTTGTCACTGTTTCTGGCGAACAAAGATTCAGCGATAGTCACCCTCGCCTTGAAAGTATGTCATCGATATATATATTTACTATTATGTATATATATATAACATGTGCATAACGTGTACGTGGCTGTGATTTGACTATACACGATGGTCCGAAATAGATTAATTTCTTTGTTATCTTCTTTGATGATTGGAGAAGCTTCTGTGTAGCGCTTTTACATCAAGTACAACTGTAAGAGTCTGACAGACATTGTCGTTCTTATCTTCTTTTATGTCTATCCGGATATCAACTTGCACGCACCCCAAATTCAATACCCAGCTCTATTTTTCCCAACGCCAGACGCTGCAACTATTAGCTGAAGAACCGAAGAATCAGCTCATTATGTACAAAGACCCCGGAGTGGTGCAGGGTATACAGAAGGTGCTCAAGAACCCTAACTGCACACCTGAGGAGAGGAAAGTGGCCTTGGGTATGTTCGCCTACAACTGAGATTCGACTTGAGTGTGAACACTTCAACTACGCCTTTCATGGCTGCATGTTTGTAGCGATGTGGGCGGTTGCGGGGCTATGAGACTCTTTTCTTTGTATTTAATGGCTGCGCTCGTTGTCGCAATACCTGAGACGAGGCACTACCACTGTTAGCACGGTGGTATCATGTATTCCCCAGATAGTGTGGTATCATATATTCCCCAGATAGTGCATGCACATATGTACGCTTTTATCACACAGGGTTTTAAACGGCCCACTGCATCTGAGCTTACATGAGGAATGGATGTCTTTGATTGGGCTTGCAAATCCCTCGCTTGTCGTTGGAGTGTGAATTAAAGCTTCGATCGTGTGTTCAATTGTACTTTCCCTTCTTGAAATGGCAGCAACATTCAAATTAATACAACCGAAAGGGGAAACGCAGATCAAAGGAAACCAGGCGACAGAGCCCATCCGACCCACACCATCAGATCCAACACAAAAGGCTAATACGAAGTAAGTAAATATTTATATAAGCATGAATCCATGCGCTTCTTAGAAGAACCAAACTTTTGTAGCATCAGTACGCGTGAGTATGGTATATTTAGTATATCGAAAGCAGGATGTGTTGAATCACATAGCCATTATTTATAAATAGAAATTCTTGTTTTGAGATGTGAGAAAGATGGTTCGCTATATATCGTATCGTCACGCTGCCTTTGATAATAAAACTGTCGAACGCGTGAGAGCTAAGATTGGTGTCTCAGAGCGATGGAGGTTTATCACGCTATAGCAGTGGCATGTTATGGTTACAGCTGTCACTGAGAGGGGCGCTCAATGACTTCATGTGGCTGCCTGTGTTTCGTTTGTCATGGGTTTATTATAGTGAACTGAACTATCGGAGGCAAAGGGCTTAAAAGGTAACAAAGAGGTGCTTTGAGAATAGTGGAGATACAGTGCAGTTTCCTCTGTGTTAGATATCTTCCCCTCCCCGCCACCCTTGCTAATTGGATGTGTTTTGTGGATTTTACCAACAGCGGAGATCCTTCCGTTTTCCTTCTTACTAAACTGGAATACCATAGGTGAAAATATATCATCTTGTCGATATTTGTTTTTTCTCGGTAGTACGTATTCATTATTATTTTTGCCGTTGTTTATTCTTCTTCAATTCAAAGTGGAGAGTCATCTTCTGCTGCCGCCGCACCAACTCGAACAGGCGCAGGACGGGGTGCGCACTCATTCTTTAAAGTTTCGAGTAAACGCGCAAAGACAGTTACTTTTCAAGTCCGAGGCACCAGCGATCCCAAGCAAAAGCAGTCAGTCGAGGATGCTCTCGTAAAGGTACATTGGTAATTGTATGCAAGCCTGTATGTAAACGTATGCTTTAATTAGGTATAGAAGTGTGTATTGTGTGCAACCCCTTCTTGATGTATGTGCGAAATAGGCAGTAAAGACAGTCTATTGGGGATGTATTCGTAAAAGTGCATTAGTTTATCTGTCTAATACTGTATGCAGATGTATGTATGTGTGAAATATACATTAACATCAGGCCGTTCTGGATGTTCTTGAACGGTATATTTGTGTATGTGTAGATGCGTACGTATATGTGAGGAATAAACAACTGGATTTTATGTTTGCATGGCCTGTCATTGTAGGTGTATATGGCTTGTAAAGGGTATTGGATTGGGGCTCTGATATGTGAGGAGTGCTCTGCATGAGTATGTACCAGCCCGTGTGTGCTTCCAATGAGTGTCGATAGCGCGTATATGAATTGTGTAAGTACAGCCCAACTGCTTGCCTTTTTTGGCTAGTCCCGAGAAATTGGTATTGTGCCCATGTCCTGGACGCGTTCGCCCATGTTTTGACGTCTGATATTTTACCAGCCAAGCAAAGGTGTTTATGGTGCATTCTTCTTCATGGAGGTTACAGACTTAACTAGAAGGAGAACTCGTCGAAGTACCACTTCATCACTTTTTTACTCACTTATTGATTATTTGTCAACTCAGTGCGATTCATCTTTCCATCTCTTGATCACAGGTCAGGGGGCTGGTTAGTTTCACTTTTAATTTAGAACAAGAATACTTTGTTGTGCGAGTAGCCGAAACCTTAGAAACGCGGAAGTTGGTGGATGCCATTTTAAGCACAGACCTAACGGTATGTTTCTATTTGTTGTGCATGCACAGTGCTGGCTCTCGCTTGTCGATTGTGCATTTGGCTACTGCACTTGGTGCACTTCATATGCTGGGCTTCGAATGTCTGGTGTTTCGCAGTCCACTGCGTTTGCATGATCTATTGTTTCTTCGTGTGTGATAGTACTCGAGAGCGTGTTCTCCTTTAGTGAATGGGGTTTGCATTGCTCACAGGACATTTCTTGGGATTGGTCTGTCCCTCCTCTGCTTGTCAATTGTCAGTAAACTCTCTCAAAGCTTCGCAAACCAAAAAAAAATAGCCTGGGTACAGTCTACATTCGACTTAAATATGGACAAGTATCTTGTGATAATCCTATGAAAAGCGTTGATGTGTGTCTTACTTTTATCTCAAACGCAAAATATGTTGGTATTCTCATCATGATCAGCCAAGGTTGGTGGTCAAGAACGAGAATGGCGAGGAGGAGATTAAGGACTTTGAAGCGAGCAAGGCAGAAGGTGCGTGTGTGTGTGTGTGTGGATATGCATTTTTTTATGTGTGTGTCTGGGTCTGTGTTATTTTATTGTTTTGTTGATACGCAGTCCGTACTTGCGAAAGGTTTGTGTACACGCACAAGTATATAGCAGTTTGCTTATTACCTGTCATACTCCTTGCCATCCGTGTGTATTAGCAAGTACATTGCCGATGGCACATGCCTATTGGCTACTTAAGTCACTCACACGTCTGCAGTATAGTCGCATAGTGTATTCTCGAGAACTGCATTGATTGATTCTTATACCTGAGACGAACAATTTGCTTTATGATGAAGAGGCGATAGCACTCTCAACAGCCGCTGCCCATTCTAATTTGGTATTTTTGGTCGTAGTGTTTTTTTTGCAGAAACAAAGTATATATATTTATATATATATATAGCTGTTAAGAACCATGCAGGCCGTTTTTAATTTTTGTCGCATACCATATACAGTTGGCTATTAGTCGCATATCAAGTCACGTCTCGATGTGGCTGCAATTATTGCTCAGTACTATCAACGTACGTAAACTTACACTATACCCTGATCGACCCCTCACGCAGACGACGATGGCTACCTTGATGAAGATCACGTAGAAACTACGCATGAGAAAGAATTCTCTAGCAAAACACTCGCGCGCCTGGAAGAGCGAAAGAACAACAAGCAGGGCGGTTGGTTCGGAGGAGTCGGCAACTACATAGCAAAGAGTCTCTACTGGTAGAAATATCGCAGCGTATCCGAGATCTTTCGTTGTCTGCTGCACACATACCCACATACCACTATTAGAGCGCACGTGCACGTTTAGAAGGGCCAGTTTTCGAACCATCATTTCCGTATTTTTCTTCGGTAGATTGTTTCGAGTTCTGAAATGTGGCTGGTGGTAAGGGTATCAACTAGTCCGGCGGAAAGCACGTACCTGGGAATCCCGACTCCGTGAATCAAGGTGTTTGCGAAACGCTAGCCCCGTATCACGTGATCTGCTGTCAACTTGGATTCGCGTTCTGGTTTGAGAAGTAGGGCTGGGCAAGTTGAAATGTATGATCGTAGTTTGTGACGTGCACGTTTACGCCAATATTTAGATAGTACGTACTGATAGTTTATCCAGGCTGGTATTGGAGCATCTGTGAACTTTGTTGTAGGGAGTTATTATTTGTTTCAATCCCTAGGAAATCGGGCCCACATTTGCAAGGGTCTCCAAGTGTGAATTTTCGCCTCACTGACATTGGGACACTTGGTTAGAATACATGCGCGCATCTATATTCTAGCCAGGTCTACTGTGTATGCTCGCCTTGCGGAGTGCTTCACGCTTCTCGCAGCGGCATTGGATTCCGCGTCTATGCATCACGGGTGGATCTCATACGCGCATCCACACGTTTAGATTCCGTCCCACCGAATAGTGTGCATTTGCTTTGGAAGGACACGCGCAGGAGGCAATTATAATCACTGTATATACTAGCACATACTGCGAGTCATCAGATATAGAGTTAGAGGTCTGTAGTCGTGGGTAACGAAGACAGCCTTAATGATCTTGTTAACAAGAAATCATGGCAATACGTAAACTAGAGGCGGCGAATCTGAGTGGTTGCATCCCAGGTCCTTGTTAATAAAATATAAACTAGTATCAAACAGTGTCAAATATACTACCAGTCGTATAGAACTTATTAATTGATCTAAACGCCAATTTGTATTGAATATCAATGATTACCACCGCATCCACAGACGAATAGAACACAGTCCGCTCGGAATACATCATTGGTTCGTTTAATGCACCGCTTTGATGAGACTTTTGGTTCGGTGCGTATATGTAGTTTTCGGTAGATTCTAGTACAGTGACATACATATATACGCATCGATTGTGATATTCTGTCCTTGGGACTTCATATTCTGATATCCGTATGTGTTGCAGCAGATAATTCTTGTGCATCATTATACCTAGTGGTGCTCAAACGAGTTTACTTGATAGGATTGATGCAGTAGTTCTTTGCGTTTGTGAATATCTCGTCGGATATGGCCTATAAGTCTTAATAGGAGTAATGCATGACAACACTACGTGTGCAAACATCTCTATCCGATAGCATATAATCAGCATGTAGATATCGCTGCCTGCGAAAGGTCGAGTAGCAGTTTTTCAGTGGATACAACGTATTCCTGAACTATATCTCATACAAATATACTCAAATTCGGTATCTGTCAGAATGTGCGCGGAAATACTTTTTGTATTTTCATATTTACATATCCATGTCAGTATGTATGGAATAAGGGGTTTAAGGTTTGTATAAAACAAAATAACACAAGTCAAATGTAAACTACATCATGAAAACATGTGTCACCCTTCCAAGATATTCAAATATAAGCTTCCATCATAGAAATTATCCACGCAGAATCAAAACAAAGTAAACCAAGGGACTTGACATACGTCCACATCTTTTCGAAGACAACTCCGCCGCTCGATTCAGCAGGAGGAACATACATATGAAGTGCAAACATTTAGTAACAAAGTTTTACCTATTTTATAGTGAATCTTTGTCGATATATATATCGCATTGTTTTAATAGCTATATGACCGATGAGTATCCAATTTGTATAATTGATTACAATCACGTATTTCACTTCTACGGAACGTCAGATCGAGCACATTATACACAACCCAATTTAGGAATAAATTAATGTGTAGCGATACCATACAAAAAAAACATACTATACGACTGTAGAGAAGTATTCGGATTGAAAGAAGGTAGTTCTGGAGTTGGTCTTAACAAGCGACGCCGACAGAACATAAACACTCCGCTTTCACTCCTTGCTTGAGAATGAAACGATTTATAATTACTCGTATACGAGCAGGCCAATTCCGTCAAGACTGCAAAATTAGAATTTTAAAGGACCATATTGTGCACGCAGCAGAAAACCGGAGAAGAGTGTGATATATGCTTGGGATTTTATGATCGAATTACCTGCAGTAAGAACGACGCTGTCCACGAGGGCTCCGATATAGTTGACAGGGGTGTTACTAGACTGGTTCTTTTCTGTGGCGAAGTGGATACCCATGGCGGCGAACAGGGTCATGATTTTGGAGTGTATTATACGCCCGCGACTTGGCTCATCGATCCCAAGAAAATCTTCCACAAAACGACGGAGGTTCATACCTGTGGCTTTGAAGATAAAATGAAATGTGGCTCCCTAGACATTTAAAACCCTAAAACCCTATATATAAAAACCCCCTCCTTTCTCGAAGCAAATGTCGCCTTGGAATTTATAGCCGACCAAAGTAATGCCATCTGGTTGTAGTTTGATCAAGCGAAATGCAGTGCGAATGTCTATGAGAAGAGACTGTGCTGCTAACACGGCTGGCTGCAACTGAGTCGAGTTCTTAACATAGGCCTAAGTATTCGAGTTCGCGAGGTACTATGAAGTCGTTGACACTACTGTGCTTCGGGAAGGATAGATAGTGAATGTGGCGTAATTTTTGTGAGCCGTCGCTGACTTCTTTTATAGCGAGTACACTGACGAGAGGTAGGCAGAAGTACGGCCAGTGTTGAATTAAAGTAAGACTGAGCCAAATACTAGGTTTTGGTCCAGCTCGTCCCGCATTGAACACTGGAAACATGTGGCGTGCTCGTGGCCAGATATTGGTTGTGGGTACGCTATTTTAGGTCTGAGTCCAATAAAGCCAATATGCACACCATGTAGAAGTATGCATTCTAGTCTATTGACTTCTTCGGGGTTGTCCTTGTATATTCGTAGTATTTTTATAGTAAAGTGTGCATTAAGTTGAATAATGGTGTGGCAGTACACGCTTTTTTTTTTGTGTGTTAAAATATGTACTAGTATAATGAGTGTAAATTGACAGGTGTGTGTATGTGTATGTGTGCTTTTGCGTGTGTGCGAGTAGGCGACAAATGTAATCAGTTGCCTGCGGAAATGGGGCGGGGCTAGCGTGCAGAGTTGATATTTTACACTGTGGGATATCACACTTGTGTATATATTGGCAGGTAGCTGCGCCACTACAGCCGCGTCTGCTGTTGTAGTCATTGTAAGGGTGTGGGCTAGGTATGTTAGTGTTTTAGGATCCGCCCCATAATTGTTGATGCATTCAATGCTAGTGATGCTCGCGGATATACATCGCAACACAACATGCGAAAGGCGAAAGGCGTGATACCTGTGACTCATGTTGACTAATGCGAAATTGAAAGGGCCGTCTTCGAATTTTGGATGCCTTCAAGTTCCTGCGAACGACCGATGCGTCTGAGAGCGCCTAGCTGGCGGAGGATAGATCCCTATTTAGGTGATTTAAAGCCATACAATTAGGCAAAGTATCACTATTCCTTATATCTGGGAAATAGCGTAAAATGAAACTGACTTATTTCCGTGACGATTGAGCTTACCAACCAAGCAGAACGAAAGGCAATCGATACTGTACGTAGCGTAATATGTGATTTTTCTTATTCCCAGCATGTATATACTTTTTTTTTAGGCTCTAAGCATGTATATACATTAAATACTGTACAGTAACGTAAAACATTTTATTGATTTCCATCATGTTCATTTGTGCTGTTGCGCTGCATATGAAAGGCTACGTGTTTCGAAGAGCGAGGATGCAATTAATCTGCCTGAGTTTCATGGACTAAGTTTTTGTATTAGAGTGACACTAGATAGGTTCAATATCGACTACATAAAACACGATGCACGAATTCACCAGTATCGTTATTATAGACGTCTGATAATATTCAGGAACAGTTCGTTTTAAGTGGTAGTTAGCTACTTTTGAGCGTACATCGTGATGTGTGCTGAGGCACAACCTAAAGAACACGCCAACCATACAAAGAAGCAGAAAAACAAGCAGTGTATTAGCCTATGACACTACTTTCAGAGACATGTAGACTCCCCATAAGCTCGGCGTAGAAGCTTAATTCTACAACGGTGTTTTTTAGGCGGAGACGAGGCCAGGGGATGATATTAACTGAGAAACCGAACAGCATAGTGGCACAGTAGTGACAATGCATTATATTATACTCCCAGCAAGTTACCGATATGTTCCACTGTGAGAGACGGGTGTGGCTCAGTAAAAGATCGATATAATTTGTACTATTTGAAAATACACTACTGTTGGTCAGTACTTATAAAAACTAAAAGTGCGAGATTTTTACAAATCCTCCAACTCTGGAAACACAGGATGAAACCTATTGAAAGACTTCATCGGGGATTGAAATTGCGAAAAGAATACACTAAAAGGTATTATCGTATCGTATTATAAAAATGCATCTATACGCCCTACATATAAGTTTGTGACAAACGCGATACAGATCTGGAATCTTGGATGATGAATCAACACCGGCTAAATATATCAACAGAAAGTATTCAGGTAAATAACTTCATCAGATGTCTAAAATGTCATGACCAAGAGATGGTAGTATAATACTATTGGTATCAATAGAAGCAAAAACACAAAGTCTCTTGGTAATATATACCAACATTTTCAAAAACCTAAAATCTATACTCCGGGATTTGCGCATACACTTGAGGTATTTTCTTCGCGTACGAGCATGCCTTACACTGGCCTTACTTCTAGTTAAAATGTTTGGGCTCAGATAAATTTTTGTATTTATGGTTTTTAATTAAACTTTTTAAACTCAGAAAATATCACAACGACGAAGAACAGAAACGGGTCTCTTCGTATCTAATTCCAGTAATGTCGAGTTTGTGCATCCGTTTGAAGGAAGGTACAGGCCTGTAAATGATCATTATTTATGATACTTGTTTCAAACAACTGTAAGTCGGTGCTTAGTGAGACTGAATTGGCAAAGCTTTATGCGTTTCCCATATCTTTGAAGGCGCGGCGAAATTCAACGGGAATTAAACTTTGGATTTCATACGTTGAAAGGCATCACTATATCGTATTTTTCTCGCTAACCCTAGCATGTTTGTTTGTGTTCAAGCAATACTATCAGATGACCGAATGCTTCAACCTGTGAAAATAATAGAAGTTCGCCCGTATATTATCCGCAAGGTTTCGAGAAAAAAAGCGTACACGCAAGCCTGACTTTATATCGGTATTTGAAGAGGTGGTCGATATATTTAGAAATATCCAGCGTGTATCGAGATGAAAATGTTTTTTTTTCTATGACATATTGACTGATCAGATCTTTGGAGTACTCAGGAAGGCATTGTCTAAAGGGTGTGATGAGTTAGAAATGAGTGAACAAGCAACATTGCTCTACCCGAAATTTCTCGATCTGAGGGCCGTAGGCGGGTGGTATGTCGATTTTCGCCAGTTACTCCGGGGCTTGAGGAATGAGGAAAGCTCGAGGTGAAATTGCGGTGGTTAGGTTGACTGGTTCCAGGATAACCCTATAAGATTCTTCTGGAGGTGATCGAAGCCGAAGAGGACTTTGCAATCTCGTGGTAACCAGTCGGAGACGAAGTATTCTACCCGACTGGTTTCGTAGGGAGTGGGTGGTTTGTTCGGCGCCCGCACGTTGAGCAGTAGTGTAGATGTAACCTGTTGATTAAGGATGGCCTGACCGTTCCTCCAAAGCCTTGCAGATAAAGTGTGAAATTAGTCGTACTTAAAATTGAGTCACTCCACAAATGGTGCAAGTAGAATGGCCAGTTGAGAACCGGTATCAACATAAACTAGTGTGTCCTCTTGCTCGCATATAGCCGAGACTACTGAGCCTGTTCAGTCTGTGGCGTGTAGGTTGAGTTGCTGAACATCCGGTTGTATAGATGGTATTGGGGCTCATAGGTTGAAACAGGGACAGTGGTAGTTATCGTAGGATACAGGAGTGTCGGTCGGGGTTCAACAAAAGTAGGTGCTGTCCCCGTCAATGTTTGCGCGATATATCCACGCCCGTGATGAGGGGTGTGGGTTCGTCAACCGGTTCCGTGATGGTGGCTGTGGCCGAGGAGACTTTTTTGGGACACAGGCGCTCTGTGTACAGGTGTGACAGATGGAGCATAACTTGTCGGAATGGCGAAGTCGGCACTTGTGATCGAAAAATGCCACATGGAATAAACCCAGATTTTTCTGAGTTTATCAGATATACTCTGATAAACCTAGTCCACTTTAGAATAATCAACCACATGAATCATTTAGATATGAGTCTGTTAGAAATAGAAATTACTAATAAATTAGCAGCGTCTCCCTGGACACTTAAGGAGAACGTTGAGTACAGTTATCTATCGTATACTGTGTACACGTATGACTTACCACATTTTTAACTAGCCCTATAGGCCATTAGTTTAATAGAAACTAGTTGTGACTAGAAGATATTTGCTACATAACGAAGAGGCATAATCCTACAATTTTCAGCGAAGGGTACTGGGGGTGGACATAACTTAGAATTTAGTCGGAGATGACGCACAGAAATAGTGAAATTTACCAGAGCCCACTTTCTGAGGAGAATGACAGTGGGTATATTAGCAGTGATGTCAATAGCGACATGCCCTTTCTTCTATCAAATATTAGCAGCAAAACATTAGAAGACTTAAGCCAGAACATTACACACAACGCCAAAGGATTCTGCACACAGAATACTAGAAGTAACAATGGGTTTAGAATCAACATAGCGAGACTACAATGACTACACGAGCGGTTTCGGTTTTCGATGGTATTCACGGATGATATCTTCGCGAGAAGAAGTTGGAATACAGCAGAAGCTGAGACAGAGACAGAGCGAGCAGAAACAACCTTTACACGAAGCCCACAAAGCAACACTGAAGAGAACCAGGCCCCGAAGCCGAAGAATCAGATGAAAGGTGAGGATATATAGAGATGCTCGTTACAGATGTTGGTGTTCAGAGTTGAGTGGTGTTGGTGTCGAGTTAGAGTGTGAGTTATAAGTCTTGCAGCACAACGGAGCGAATAGAGGGCAGTAGTAGTCCAGGAACCAAGTATTGTGATGTTAATGACGAGATACGCGGGTGTAGGATATACTTGTGTTTTGAGTCAAGATTAAGAAAATTTTGTGGGTCCAAGAAGTTTAGAGCGTACACTACAGACATTATGAACGTGTGTATGGTTTATAAGCGTTTGTAAAGACACTGTACGGAGAAATCAATTGTATGTGTTGATCGGAAGACATGATGTTGAATACATAATTGGTGAAGATGCTTGGAAATACAGACACGCCGAGAACGTGTAAACGTGCCGTGTTGAGTGATGATAAATATCTCAAGGAGAACGTTGAGTACAGTTATCTATCGCATACTGTGTTCACGTATGACTTACCACACACTTAGGGCAGGTTGGGATGTCGATACGGGCCGAGTCCTGTGACTACGGGCCGAGACCTGTGACTGGCGTCGACCGGTAGCACAGTGGCTATCGCGTCCAGACGGGCTGTGCCTCGTGTCACGGCCATGATGGTTTTAGACAGTGCTCTGAATGCGCTGCCGTCACGTGGAGGTTGGTCACGGTTGTAGTCACCACGGTTTCCATCGCTGCGATGGCCAGAGTCACTAGTACGGCCGAGGGACTGTTCACGAGGGCGGCCACGTGCGGTTTATGTGGCTGCCTGGGTTGGACTATACATGTCGAAGGCCTGAAGGACACCCTCTTTAAGTTCCTTTATATACGCAGCTGTAATGAACGTACGCAGGGCGATTCTCAGTCTCCTGAGACAGTTTTAGAGCTCAGAAAAGTCCATGTTCCAAAGCACTTATCAAAGTTTTTCGGGCATCAATAAACATAGACGTGAGGGGCGTCAATGCTTGGTTGTGAAACATCCACTGCATATCAGAGTCCCACTGAATGCCCCGTACAATTACTTCCCATGCGTGAAAGGCTTTCTTAAGTGGTTGGGGGCGAGAGGGATTGATTTGATGTACGGGAAGAGAATCGAGGCCTGCTTGTCCAACATGCATACCATCTGTGTTGATGGAGACAAATAAACTTGTGCATAGCCCTCTGCTTAGGGCACCAGCGTCTGAGAGCGGTAAATATGATGTCCTTGCCGAGGGCTATGAGCGTCCCATCCAACTGGTTGCCAGTCGAGTGGAGCAGCATACATAAATGGTTCAACTTCGGTTGGTGACGAGTGGGGCAGCACACATAAATGGCTCACCTTCGAGTGGTGACGAGTGGGGCTTAGTTTGAACGTCGCGTAACCGCTCCTCAATGAGTGACAAGTCGAGGTAGGTGTTGTCATCATTGAGAGGTGCCTTCTCGTGGTGTGTTCGTTGTGTGACTATGTCAGCGTCGTACTCATGACAGAACGCCCGGATACGTTTCGAATCCAAGAAAGTGTGATGTGGCTTGAGCGTCGTGGCTTCAAACGTTGGGTACTGTGGACCCTACTATGCTGTACGGTCGTGTGTCCAAGTGCGTGTGTTACGGCGGTGACGTGTTTCATGGTCCGGACCGACGTGGGGTCGACGATGGTGAAGGGGAGGGTGTGGCTCGCTTGCGAGACGACGGTGTACTCGTGTAGCATCTAGGGACCAGACTATCAAAAGCCAATACAAATTCCAAAACATCAGCATAATCTACTTTTGAGTTTTGGAATTCGGATTCAAATATTTATGGTATTAGAGTCATCAGAAATATTAGCGGTAGAACCGGTAAGCTATACAGGGACTCCGGGGGAGAGAGAAACACTCAAGTAGAAACCCGAGTCTAGTGAATTAGAAAACACAAATAAAAACTCAGTTCGGTTCTCTCAGACTAAGGACTTTTCCTAGCTGAGATAACCGTACTTGAGAAGAGGTCTATTGTATCCTATTGTCGTACCTTTCCAGCTACTCTCCATACTCTACATTTTTACAAGAAAAATTTTACTAAATGTACATTGAAAATGTGGAAAAGTCACTGTATGTACATTCACCCTTTTTCTCGATGAAAACGTACTGAAATATTGATCAAATATGTACAAATGTACATTTAGCGACTATTCAAAAAAAAATCATAACCATTTAGTGACTTTATCGTGCAAAATTGTTTTAAATTTAAAATAAAGAGCCTTCGGCTAAATCAATTTTTGACGAATAAATTTGTTGAGGGAGGTTATGTTGTCTTTTTTTATTTGTTGTTTGTATATGCTACTTCATTCAAGCTTATCTCACTGCCTAGTACGCAACTCACGTGGTCGATGATGCTCTTTTACAGGACCATATGAGAATTGAATTTTCATCTTACCATATGAATCAGCACTAGCAGGAGTTGGCATACTATCTACTATAATATCTGTAGCGTTACTTTATACAATGTAACAATCGCCAAGTTCCAATGTCCGTTCCTTTGATTCCACGGGATCAAAATTTCGGGCACATGTGCTGCTCCCCTTGTAGACATAGGCAGTCTGCACAGCATGTAACTCGTTTGATTTGCATACAACTCATCTGTGTATTTGAAATTACGTATAGAGCATGAAACGTTAATATATATATAATGT